ACTCCTCCACATCAAGAGCATCATGTGCTTATTGAAAACTTAAGTCCTAAAATCACTTTTAGAGAGTTGTGCACATATCTATAAAGCACAAATTTTAAAAAACTATAAATAAATAGAAGGAGAACCACTAGAGTAGGGAAGGGGAGAGGGGAAGGAGAGGGCAAAGGGTGAGGACTGAGTTGGATCAGATGATACTCTGTGCTGTGTGATGGTGTCCCAATGGACCTGGCCTCTGCATGACCACAGGCAATAATAACCAATATTTTTACTGGGGAAAAAGAGACCAAAATGGCCGTTAAATGTCGAGAGCTGTGATGCTCTGTTTAAACCAGTCACTGTCATTCAGATTGGGGATACTCTGCTCTGTTTCTTGTATAAATCAATCATTATGAGATCTTTGTTTTGCTAACTCCCGATCATTTGCCTAATTATATTTATCTAAGGAGAGGAAAGAACTGGGCAGAAGAGCCTTCCGAGTTCTAAGTTCTTCCTCTGCACTAACCCCAGGCGAACATCTCCCTGATGCCCCTTATGAATGACTCTTGCAAAGTCCCAAGGGCTGAAGGATCGCTGCATGACCTGGATCCACCATAGAGCCACAGGGGATGCCAGGCTCCAGGGTCACTGGTTGGAGACATTTAGCCCTGGCAATGCCCAGATGCTCCACTGTGGAAGCTGACAATTGAGATGTAGGTGCAGATACTCGTGAGATGCTTATCTGTAGATAGGAGGTGTGTGTCTGTGGATGTATAAGATGATAGCTAGATTCTGATGTGGGGAGAGACCACAGAGGGAGGGAGGGCACAGCCATTCAGACCTGCTCTAGTACTAAAGGGAAGCTTCTCAGGGTAATTGGAACAGGGCCTGCACTTGATTCCTGTGAGAGAAAGTCCCTGTTGCCTCTGGGGACGTTGGGGGTCTCCGTCTTGCCTTGGAGACCACCTGTCAATCACTTATCCTGGTCTCGCATGGCAGGTTCTCAGCCCTGTTGGCTCAGTGTGGTTGCAGTGCCCACTGTCAGCTGGCCACGGCTGCTAGGCTGTGTCCTGGTGCTTATTTGTGGACTTGTGTTTTCCAGAATAGACTAGTTTGCCAGTTGTACAAACCTAACTTGAGTTGTCTTAAGGAAAACTAGACCTACAAGGTGGGGATGATAACTGGCTCCTGTAAGCAAGGGAATCCAGTAGCGCTGCTCGCTTCAGGAGCGGCTGGATCCAGATGCTTCAGAGGGCTGTTAGAGTATTGATTTTTCTATTTGCTCTATTTCCAAGTGGAGCTGAAGAACACAGGCTGCCATTGGTACAGAACGAGTCATGTGTTCTAGGTTTGAGCCAATCGAGGTGTGGTACCCAGGCTTGTGCCTCCAGAGCAGAGGGAGCAGCTCACCCTAGGGAGCCTGCAGGGGACCAGGGACCAGAGTCTCTGCTCCAGAAAGCTAAGACCAGTGTGGCACACTGGGAAGGGCAGAGCTGCTGTGAGCAGGCAGAGCCCTGTAGCAGGCACCGTGTCTCGGTGCCTTCCTTAGTTACACATGGCTGGTCTCAGCCCCTCCAGAGCATGGTCTGAATGCCCCGAGATTCAGAGCTTTCAGACCTCAGGCAATTGCTCAGTGCCAGGGAGAGTGCGTGCCTTGCCGATGCGCCTCTTCTGCAGCTGTGCCCGGCCTGGTAGTGAGACCGGCTTTCTCTTCCCCTGCAAAGGGCTGCAGGGTGGGGCCAGATCCATGGCTCAAGTAGAAACCCTGTGGCTTCTGTGAGGGGCGACGTCTGGCTCCGATACCAGTGAGTGGCGGTGGAAGCCTGCCTGCAGGGATGTGGGTGGGCAATTGCGGGAGGGTCTCCACGGGTCTCCCCTCCTTTGGTTTGCCTTTTTCCCTCCCAGCAGTGAGCTCGGAGGCCTGGGCAGCTCGACGCAGGCAGTGCTCAGACTCTCTGGGTGTTCTCAACAGCGCCTGCTGCTCTCACCTCCATGAAGGTGCCGCTGCCTAGATGTTTCTTACCCCCCCGTTTTACATCCTCTAGCATTACTTTGTGGTTCAGTGACACTGCACCACAGGGACAGTGCCAAGCCCTTCACAAATGTCAACTCATTTGGTCCTCGCAGCCCTGATTGTGGTAAGACAGCAGTGTTCTTCCCAGTGTGCAGGACACCAAGGCACAGAGGAGTTAGGTGGTTTATGTAAGGTCACACAGCCTGGGAGAGGCGGAGGCAAGATCTCCACACGGCAGCGTAGCTGGGGTATGGACCCTGCTTTATGTGTTCTATGGATTTTTAACATTGGCCTTCTCCTGAAAGCAGTGGGTGTAGAGACACGCAGTGAAGCAGCAAGCCGCGCGCTCCTCGCAGAGTGTGGGACGGCGGCCTGAGCCTCCGCCTCCACGCGTGCAACAGGCCACGGCAGGACGGCCTCTTAGGGCTACTGGAACTGAGGGGCCTGTCATGTGGAGTGTCTGGCCTGCCCCGTCAGCTCTAAGATATTAGCTCTCCTTACCTACCCAAGTGTGTTTTAAAGGAGGCGTGATTTTAAATATCCACATATTTCTGACCTTCTATTTAGAGAGGGGTTGTGGCCCAGCAGAGTAGCATTGTGTCACAAGATCAGAAGAGACCTTTTCTCTGAGTGTGCTGGATGTCGAACTCATGGGCTCTTGACCGCTGAGCTGTACCCCAGTTCTTCAGCTATATTCCTAGTATTAAAAAAATATAGATTTTCAGATAGTGTCTCACTAAGTTGCTGAGGCTGGCCTCCAACTTGAGCTTCTCTTGCCTCAGCCTCCCAAGTGGCCAGGATTTCGGCATGCATCACTGTGAGTCTGGCTAGAAGAGGCGTTTCTTTTTAGTACAATTTGTGAATGGTCCCACACAGCCGTGTCCCTCAGGGCCAGGGATGGCACGTGTTTTCCCAGGAGGAAGCGGATAGCCAGTGTCCTCTGGCTCCGAAGGTGGCAACTCCTCTCTTCGTCCACTGTCCTCTGCTCCCTCGGGGTCCACTGAGGCCAAGTGAGGAGGGAGCCTGGCTGTGCCCCTGGGTTGGTCTGCTCACGTCTGACTTAGGGCCACATTTTGGTGTCCCCTGTCCTTCTGGTGGGGAGTGGTTTCACGCCCCCTGGACGCTGCTTTCCGGGTTGAGCTCGTTTGGATTCCAGTCCTTGGGTTCATCCCAAGCAGGGGAGCCTCCCTACGTCAGGCCCTGTGACCTCCCCACCTCCCCAGTGTGCCAGGGTCTCAGGTGCCTGGTGTGCTGGTGCAGGGACAGTGCCTCTGGTTGCTCACTGCAGACTTCTGCGGCTCCTGCTGGAGGCCCAGAGTCCCTGTTCAGGGAGCTCCAGGCAGCTGTCCAGTGTGGCTGGTGGCAGAGAGGCACCAGCCTCCAGGGCAGACCTGAGGAGGGACTGTCCTGCCTGCTGGTGAACAGAGACCGAGACCCACCTCCCTGCCATCAGCTGCAGTGCCTGTTCCCAAGGTGAGTGGTGCCACAGGCCCCCGATCTCAGAGACTCCCCAAAGAGCCATGCTGTCACCCTGCCTGGAGGCAGCAGGGTGGCTTTATCAGCATCAGCAGACACCAAGCCATCCTACGCATTTATGTCCCTGTTTCTTCTCAAAACAAGTTTCAGTTTTCGTGTTGGGTCTCCTCCTCCTCCTGTGAGTTGCTCTGTGGCCTGACTGAGAGCAGCAGGTGCTCAGCTAACTCATGAAATCCCCAGCCCTGTTGCTCAGGCTCCTTGGACAAAACAAAACAAAAACAAGCCCCCCCACCCCTGCCCCCGGGGCTGCACGGAGGTGACAGAGGTGACACTCCTGGCTCCTGGTTCATGACTTCCTCCCCCTGGCCTCGGTGCTGATTCCTCATTTTCTTCCCTTTCAGTCTCTACCTGGATTCATGATTCTGCCCTTTTCTTAAAGGAAAAAAGAATTTGAAAGGCTCAGGCTCCCGGATGCTCTGGCCAG